TTTAAAGAGTAAAAAGTGGTTTTGAAACGGTTTTAACTTTGTTGCCCACGGTCACGCGGTCACCCCGCGCGCGTCCCGCCTGGTTTATTCTCAGTCTCGGGGCGCATATTTTTCTCAGGCGCGACACGTTGGGTCGCTCAGCTCCGCTCAGCTCCGCTCAGCTCCGCTCAGCTCCGCTCAGCTCCGCTCAGCTCCGCTCAGCTCCGCTCAGCTCCGCTCAGCTCCGCTCAGCCCGCGAGGCGCACGCACTCCATCAGCCTGTCAGGGCGACGGCTCCCTCGCTGACAGTTGCGCAATACGCAATGGACGTTCATCGCCCAAGCAGCCCCTTAGACACACACCAGAGTTTTCACTTTCGCCGAAAAATAATGAGGCGAATAATTGCTATACGGGAAAACTATACGGAGGGCTATACGGGAAACCAACTATGCCCGCTTGCAGAGGAGGAAAAAGAAAGAGCAGACTCACTACGGGGCGCGGGAATATATCCTCGCCGATCAAAAAGCCAGAAATAGCAAATTTGCAAAGCAGCCCCGTCTTATGGCGAGCAGAGCGCCAGGTTTAACCTGAGGGCGGCGGAGTTGGCAAGCTTGCGGTGGTGCAGGGGCGGCGTGGCCCCACGCGCGGTCTCTCCCTTTTGGCAAGGGGGATGCCATGACCACCATGACCCACTACGGGAGGGCCGGCCGGCAGCCGTGGCCGCCACGTGTAGGGGGTCGCAGAGCGCCGCAGACCCTGGTCAGGGGTCCCGAGTCGCTCTACGAAATGCAGCCGGCAGCCGTGTTGGCTTATGGCATAGGTATAAGCATTGTAGATTTCGAGCCTGGAGTTTTCCGCCGGCTCCTCGCGCCAGAAAGTCGTTTACGTCTCGTAACTGAGCCGATCTGTCGCTCTTCTCATTTTGCAGATCCCCCTCCCAGCTGCCTCAGCAGCCTGGCCCTGTCGTCAACAGCAACACAGCAGTGCAACGCCTGCTGCAGGAGCAACAGCAGGGCAAGGCAGACGGTAAGCATGATGCAGCAGCCTGGCGGCGAGAGCCCTTACCGGGCATCCACCCCCCAGCAGACACCCCCC